TAAAAAGTAATCAAGATTCAAGACAAAATATAAAATAATTCTCAAAGCCATGAAAGTGCATATTGCATAATATTCCAATTTTCAAAGATAAAATAATCCACATTTAATAAAAATAAAAATAAAAATAAAAACAAAAACATAAACACTAACATCCAAAACATAAATATCCAACAAATACTAATATATGTCTTAACACTTCAAAACATCAATATCAAAAGAAAAAAGTTAGAACTTAGGTCGGTCAGTCAATCATCATCCTCAACATCAATGGCAAGCAAACTATCATCTTCTTCTCCATCAGTTGATTTATATCCCTCAACATCTTCCTCCTCTGTGTCATCTGAGCCCGCTTCCTCTTCATTTATTAATTGAAGTGGAGTTAATCTTGATGATTTAGATATCCTCGGTTGTGCCTTTGAGCGTGAACTTGTTGCTCTACTTACATGACTACTTTCTTCTACTCCAGAAGCTCTAGTAATAGTGGCCCATGTCAAGCCATCATCATCATCAAATACAGGCTCATTATCTTCATTTGATTCTCCATCCATCCTCCCAAGCAGACACTCATTGCTTTCATCAATATTTTGCAAAGATATGGGATTAATAGTGTTGCGCATGTCATACCTAAATCTCAATGTTCTATTATATTTGACAAACATTAGATCATTGAGACGTTCCAATCTATTTCTTTTCTTGCTATGAAGCTACAAGTATTAAAAAGATATTAAATTCTATATAATGAGAATAAAAAGTATTTAAATTAAACAAAAAATTAGTTAGAATGTTAAATAATCACATGTTCAAATACACTTCAATTTCGTTCACAACCCGATGAACTGCATGTTAGGCTAAGGACTTTTATGGCAAAAATTTGCAAGTTTGAAGTTTTAGAACCATATGATGCCCACCAATTAGCTGCGATAATCACTAGTTAGAAATAATTGTTACCAAGTATTTGAGTTTTACGAAAAGTATTACTAAAAATAAACTCTATGAGTCTATAATATATTACCTGGTACCCTTGTATTTCTTTGCCTAATCGCAACAGTCTTGCCAAAAAGACTTTCAGCCTTAATATAAATATTTATCTCATTAGTGATCAAATCTTGAACAGTGACATCCGGGACCAACCTTTGCATGCATTCATAAAATCCATTCATCACTTCATGATCTTTTTGCACCTCTAATGCTTTTGGGTAAAAGAATTCTGGGTTAAGAAAGTGAGCAGCTGCATGTAAAGGCCGATGCAATTGGACATCCCATCTGTTGTCGATGATTTTGAAGATTTCATTATACTTCTCTTCTTTATGATCAAATGAACTTGCAATGCATTCTTTTGCCCTATCAATTGCCTCATAAATGTATCCCATAAGAGGTTTCTTCTCGGTATCAACCAATCTAAGCACTTTGACGAGAGGACCCGAGACCTTAAGGGCATACACAACCATATTCCAAAATGAAGGCATCAACAAAGTTTGTGCCATTTTTTTACCTTGTGGCTCATTTGCACATTTGCTTGAGGTCCAGTCTTCGGAGGTGACCATCTTTCTCAAATTGTTTTTTTGTTGATGCATCCCAGACAAAGTCAGAAAGGCGGTTGCAAATCTAGTTTTTGCAGGCTTGATCAAATTCGTCAGATTTGTATAGCACCTCATCATGTTTAGCAACGTAGGTTGGTTGTAAATGTAGCCATGTACTGCAATACCCCTTTCAAATGTCTTTTGTCAGTCTAGGTATCTTGAAAATGTCTTCTAACATCAAGTCCAAGCAATGAGCAGCACATGGTGTCCAATACAAGTATTCATGCTTGGCTTCCAAAAACCTCCCTATAATGTAACAATAACGAAGAATTATTATTTTCAAGTTTTTAAATTTTAAATACAAAACAAACTATGAGTAAACAATTTTGACGTAAGGAATGAAGAAATATTCTTATCTGCCAGCACATTAGCTGCAGCACTATTAGTGATAACTTACACCACATTCTCTTTTCCAACTTTCTCCACAAACTTGTCTAGTAATTCAAATAGCTTTTTCCCATCTTTTGAATAGCTAGAAGCATCAACCGACTCAACAAACATGGTTCCTCTTGGACAATTAACTAAAAAGTTAATCAATGTCTTTCCTCTCTTATTAGTCCAGCCATCAGCCATTATGGAACACTCGTATTTTGCACAATCCTCTTTATGATTCTTTATCAAATTTTCAGTATGTTTCACTTCTTTTTTGAGGTGGGTAACGCACATTTCATGGTAAGTTGGTGGCTTCATACCAGGACCATATTGCCCAATGGCTTCAATCATTGGTCCAAAACTCTCATAATTTACTATATTAAAAGGGATACCAGCATCATACATCAACCTTGCAAATCTTTGCACTGCCCGAGCTCTCATTTCTTTTTTGTAAGGGTCATTTGCATCAATTTTGGTTTGCTTCCCTTTTGCTTGGTCTTTTCGATTTTTCACCACTGATTCAGGATTGGGTGTGAAGTAAACATCCATAGGTCCTTTTCTCTTTGGCATTTTTGATTTGGATTTGGATGAATCTTGGCTGCTACTTGTCAACTTACGACGTTGATTGACATTGACCTCAACAACATCATCTTCATCTTCATCTCCTATGTCCATGTCATCGAAATCAGGCAACATGTTCATTTCTTCTTTTTGTGTCTTCTTTTTTGACATGAACTCTCTAATCTCTTTTCTTACATGAGTTGGACACTTCGGGCAAGCAGTGACATTCCTGTAACCTCCAGCGAGGTGTTGTTTCACCCGATAAACACCTCTATTTGGTACTTTGCCACAAAAATTACACTCGAACTTATTTAAATTATTCTCCTCTACCAAATGGGCATATTGCCACGTCGGATCTTTTCTATTACTTTCCAATGTCATTTTCTACGCAACAAATTTAATAAATGGAAAATAATTTCAATGTAATGTAATGTGTGATGAATTAATTATTAGTAATTTTTTTTCCCTAACAGATAAAGGAAAAAAAAAGACCAATAGCACATTGTATTAATTAATTATTTGTGAATAATTAATTATTTGTGAATAATTAATTATTTGTAATTTTTTTTCAGTGTATTTTTTTAGTTAATTAATCAGAATTAGAATCTTTTTTTTTTCCTAACAGATAAAGGAAAAAAAGGGATCAATAGCACATTGTATTAATTAATTATTTGTGAATAATTAATTTTTTTTAATTTTTTTTCCGTGTATTTTTTTTAGTTAATTAATCAGAATCAGAATCAGAATCTTAATCTTAATCTTATTTTGTATTAATTAATCAAAATCTTATTTTGTATTATAAAGGGAAAAAAAAAAAGACCAATAGCAGCATATTGTATTAATTAATCAGAATCTTATTTTGTATTTGTATTTTTTTTTCTTTTTCTAACTGAGACTCAAAAGGCATAATCGAAAAAAAAAAAAGAAAAGAAAAAAGAAAAAAGAGGGCAAAACAGAGCAGTTGAAGTCGAAGCCCAAAGAAGAAGAAGAAGAAGAAGAAGACGGAGAGAAAGAGAGAGTCAGAGTCGAAGTCAAAGCCCAAAAAAAAAAAAAAAACTGAACTGAATTGAAGAAGTCGAAGTCGAGTAGACCAGAAAACCAGAAGAGGAGGAGGAGAAGAAGAAGAAGAAAAAGAAAAAGAAAAAGAAGAAGTCGAAGCATACCTGTGAAGTCGAAGTCAAAGTCGAGCAGCCCAGTCGAAGTCGAAGTCCAAGGTGAGGCGAGAGAGGAAGAGACGACACAGATTAGGGTTCATTTGAGTCGTATTTGGGTTATATTGAGCATGAGTTGTAATCCTTTGTGGTTAAGAGCCATTCGAACACACCCCCGCAGCAGTTAGATCAGATCTAGTTGTTAAACAATCAAGTGCGCCTAGGTGTGCGCCTAGGTGTGCGCCTTGCGCCTCTCTCACCTGGTTCAAGTCGCAGCTAAGGCTCGTGCCTACCTCAAAGCGCCTTGCCTGGGACATGTTCAGGCGCAAACTGTGCGCCTTGCCTCACTTTGCGTCTAGGCGCGCTTTTCACAACACTGCTTCGGATAAGTAAATTTACTGTTTTGAAACAAAAGTATACCATGTTTCATAATGTGTGTATCAATACGTAATTCACTAGGATATTAGCGTTTTCTAGTAATACAAATCCAAATAGTAGCAATCAAGGTTTCGAAAAGTGGTTGCGGTCACCGAAACGGTTGTGGCGGCACGGTTGCGGTTGTTGGGTGTAAAGGCCGTAGCGTAACGATTGTGGTAATCAAAATTGTGAATTTTTTTATTTTTCGCACAATTTGAAAAAACTTACTGATACGCATTTTTTTTTCTTCCAAAATCACATTTGTTAGGGTTTAAAATAGATTTTGATCAATTTTTTATTAGTTTTTAAGTATGATTCAATATATTTCATATTTTTAAATCACTATAAAAGGAGCTTTTCAATGACTATAAAAATAATTGATTTTGAATGTCTACAAAATTATTTTTATACTAATACTTGAACTAACTAAATAAAAAAAAGTATAATAATTATGCATCAAAGTAGCATCTAGGCAACAGAAGCCATGCATCCTATCCTTCCTAAACACATGGGATGGGAGGAGAATACTCCTACTATATAGGTCTGTCCAATTAGTTCAAATTTGATACATGTTTATCTGAGCCTCTAAGCATCTAGCTCAAACTATGTTAGTAATCAACCCCAGGTAACAAGGTTCAGAAATTAATGATTGTACAGATGCATTTGCCCTAATTATGCCATAATATCATATTTGCATGTTACCTGTAGGTCCATCAGTTCATGTTTTAATTTTTAGATTTGCGTCAAATACAGTTCTGTAATAGAGATGGTACCCTGTAACCTCTGGTCATAATTGGTTATGCGCCTATAGGAATGTACTTTTTACAAGCTTTAAAGGGAATTCTCTATTCTATATCTGATTCCTCTGTTTCTAAACAGTTGATGATGAGGGGCAAAATGACAGGCAAAGTATGAACTCATTTGAGTCTTCTGATGACTTTGAGCGTCGAATATTTGGTGATATTCCTGGGAGTGGTTCAAAGTCTAACTCATTTTATCAAAAACTTGATAGAATTGAGAAGGCTCATGACAGATCTGGTTTGGGTTCTAAATTTAATTTTGGGAAGAGATCTGAGTTTTTAGATGGTCTAGATGAGAGTTTCAATACCTTGTCGGATGGGATGGATGGGAAATTGAAGAAAGCAGCCACATATTTTGAATATGATCCTGAGGAAATAGCAAAAGATGACTATGCTTTCAGACCAGATGTGACTTTTAGGCCTGGGACGACCTATGACACTAAGGTATGAAATAGAGTTGCTAAGGCATCTGTTTGTTGATCTGTTTTTGTTATCATTCATGTTTTAACATATATGTAAATTTGATACCTGAGAGGCTATCTCCTATCCTTGCTCTTTTTTGAGCACTCCAGTCCTCAATATTTTTTTCCCCATCAAATATTTTTAAAAAATTCTCAACTTTATCCCAAAAACCTATTTTAAACATTTTTTTATGAAAGAAATCCATCTCCAACCCTTGCTTTGTTTAGTTTAAAAATAAATATATATATATATAAAATAAAAAATAAAAAAATAACAGATTTGAGTAACAGTACGACAGTTGAAAATTTGATGAAGGATTTGGTTTTCCTTTGATTGGATACAAGTTTGATGAATGGATTGGGAGTTCATTTTTAGCTTCATTTTCCATCAAATTTGAATTTGATAAAGATTGGAGATGGCCTTACATGCTTTTGTTTTATGTTCTCCCCATGTTTCATGTATAATATGATGGCACAGACAGGTAGGAAGTTACTGAACTTGCTTATCGTTGATGGTTTACTTCATCAGTTTATCTATAGTATTGGAAAAACTCATATAGCCATTTATTACATTTGTTTCTAGACAAGTTATCACTCTAGTTTGGCTAGTATTGATACTCTCGGGTTTCATCTATGACATCTTCTAATGGGCCTGGCCTGAGGCTGTCCAAAAATAAATTTGACAATTGGCCCCACCTTACTAGGTCTGTGGCTCTGTGCAGTTTGATTAACCCAAGAATGGAACTGAATCTCACGTCCATGGTTCAGTTAATTCTGTCATCCTGACAGTTTTTGGTTGGATTCTGGTTTCCATTTGCGTGAAGTACCTTTAAATAAAAGGGGTTGATGCACTTCCCACCCTTTGATCTCACGTCTCATCTGATGCAACAAGTAGAACTTGTGTAGAGGAGAAGTTGTTTTCTTTTCTTTTTAAATAATTTGGGTGTGAATTTTTGCTTCAGAAATGAAATTTATGAACCTTTTGACTTTGTGTCACATCTCTTCCATATCTAATTTTGTGCTATGCTTTGTTCTTTACTCTTCTCCTTTGGTTTGCAGTTAGAGATGTAAAAAAAAAACTAAAAAAACCGACCAAATTGATTGAACCCAACCAAATCGGGTATATTTGGTCTGTTTTTTTTTATCAAGAATCGGTATGTACGGTTCTTGAATTTTATTTTTTTTGATTTTTAGTTCGGTATCGGTTCAAGCACTTTGTGCACCGAATTAAACTAAAACCGATCGCTTCAATATATATTGTATTTATAATATATATATAATCTAATAATATAATGATATTAAAAGTATAATAAATTATTAATCTTAATTAATTAACCTTATCATCTATATAACCTAAGTTTATAAACTCTTATTATATATAATTTTAACTAACTCATTATTTTTGAAACTTTAGTATTTTTTAACTTTTTTTTTTTGTTTTTATTTTTGTTAATTTAGGAATTGAAAAGTATTTATTAAATGGATAGATTGAATATGTTTGAAATGGTGGACAAATAACTACTTAAATGTTTTTATATAAATTAGTGATTATATTTAAAAATGGCTTAAGTTTGAAAAGTCCTAGACCGATTAAACCGCACCGCACTGAACAGAACCGAACTGAACTGTATCGGTTTAGTTTGGTGCAGTTTGATGGGAGAAGCAGTCTGTATTGGTGTTCAAAATAATAAAATTGACATTATTGGTTTGGTGAAATTTTTTGCCTAAATACCGACCGTACCGAACCAATTACATTCCTATTTGCAGTATTTTTGTTTTCTTCTCATGTATGCCTTGAGTGCCTATGTGCAGGATCTTGATCTAAAAAAACCTGGTGTTCGCAAACCTTTTAGAAGGAACGAGTTCGAAGTGACATCAGAGGAAGTATTGAAGAAAGCTGATTTCAGGGTGAGCATATTTGGGTCTAGCATATCATTGAACTGTGGTATACCAGGTTTTTGGCGAGTATCACCACAATTATGTTGTTTGAAAACGGAACGATAGACCTAGAATCACTGATGCCAATATGTAATTGGCCTGAACATGAGGGAACATGCTTCCTATTACTAGGAAAATTTGTGTGTAGTGTTTACCGCTATGTTGAGCAAGGCCTTTGATTGTTCGGGCTATTCTTTGCGATAAGTTGTGCTTCAGGGATCAAATATTTTATTTCTCCATTCTTCCAACTTTCTAACTCCTGAAAATACTCTTCACAGAATGTCAGATTCTTGGCCAATTTCATCACAGAAGCTGGAATTATCATAAAGAGGAACAAGGTAAACCAAACTGCCAAATTTAAATGGTTTTCAGTTGAACCCATATTGCCTGGTGAAAATTATTTTGTTGTTTGTTGTCTAGACTAAAATCAGTGCCAAAGCACAGAGGAAGGTTGCTAGGGAGATCAAGACAGCCCGAGCTTTTGGCCTAATGCCCTTCACCACAATGGGAACGAAACAATTTATTTTTGGCAAGACAATGGAGGATCTTGATGAGGATTATGAATACGACACTTATGATACCCGCAGTTTTGTTGATGACAGTCGGGACCCTCTTGGCAGCTAGATACTTATTCGTTTGTGTTTTGGTTTCTCATTCATCTTTAAAGTAAGTTCTGTTGCCACAATTTTGTAAAAGTGCTATGTAGGATTCACTGCTATAATAATCATTCCAACCAATACTGGGATAAGGCTACATATATTAGGACAAACTATGATTCAAATTTAAAAGGTTTTTGCACTATCCAATTTGGATACTCATCAGATTAGAGTTGTTAAATATCCCTATCAGACACCAATGCATCAATCTCATCTCTCTCACCCTCTAGCTTTATTGCTTGACCAATAGAATCATGATTGTCATCTTTGTCACCATGTTTGTCCTCTACGATTAAAACATGTACTTGTTTTTTTAATGCTTGTACACCTAATACTAATCGCGTACAATGTTTTTCTAAGTATACTCTCTGCAAAACAATTTGAACTTGGGCATTATTGGCTTTTGACAACTTGTGTTTTGACTTTGATGTCATTTACAAAATTAAATAGAACTTGAAGAAATTATGAGTATCTGTTTTTTAATTGTGTGCTTTGTGAAGAAAAGGAGGAAAATATTGATATGCTTGAGCTGTGTTTGTTGTAAAAAATTTCAAAATGTACTACACAAAGTCTTAAAAGCTAACATGCTGACGATTTCAAGAGGTCACCTTTTTAAGCTGTGATTTGTGAAGGAAAAAAGAAGATATAAAGAGAGATATAACTTTTCCTTCATTTTTTCACAATATTCCAACACAAACTCAACATGTTATCCCCACCAAAACACACACAAAAGAAACAAGTTGGTGAATTCCAGAATTCTAAGTTCAATTCCATGTGATAATATCGTATGGGATTCAATTTTAATGAATAGAATTTGTGTTATATAAATTTAACTGGTATGCCTAAATGGTTTAGTATCATGGAGTATCTTGTGTTTCTTCAATGGAGTATTTTAGAAATGTCCTAGAAGAAGTTACTTAAAAAGTCATTTCAAATTAGGCACTTTCCCGTGATATCAAAGTAGTACTTACTTTCATTAACAAGAAATTAAAAATTCGGATGAGAGTGAAAATTATTTCATGCTGTAATGCCATAAAAGAAATTAAAATAAACTTACATTAATTACTGGTGTGAATGTCTTTTGCTGCATTGCCACATGAATTAGGATTAGGGGACGTGTCTTTGCTATAGTCAAGGGAGAACAATTAAAGAGATTTGTCATTAACAAAGAGGTTTTGTTATTTGGAAGGCGCTTAATTGCAACATGAAGGCATGGTGGGCTATCTAATAAGTGACAAATATGGTTTGCCACGTTTCAGATAGTTGACACCATGCTTGACTTGTCACTTGTTGGATGGCCCATTATGCTTATATGTTGCAATTTAGAGTAATGCTAGATATGCTTAGGCCTTGTTTGAGAAGTTGGCCATTTTAGTATGCTAAAAATTTTGTATTTGGGAAGTTGGTTGGATTTTTTTAGTTAAATATGATATTTGTGAGAGAAAAAGTAAAATGATTATGGGTTTGATATGACATTTTGTCTTATTAATTATTTTGGCATATTTTGTCTTTTTGTGGATGGGTAAACTACACTGACCTCCCCTGAGGTTTATCTTAATTACAGGGACCTCCCCTATAGTTTAAAAAATAACACTGCCCTCCCCTGCTTTTAAAAATAATACACAGATTCTCCCATGCTGTTAACTTGACGTTAATAAAGTAACAAAATCAGTGGCATCAACCTCCATAAATATGCAAATGGCCACACTACCCTTGTCATCCTTTGTAAAACAATACACCCCTTTGCTAACTATTTCCCTCTAATTCCTAGAGCACTTGTTAAGTTTCCTTTCAAAGTCTCTCTCTCTCTCTCTACAACATTGCTTGACATGGATAAAGATTTCATGTGAGCTCTCTCTCTCTTTCTCTCTCCTAGTTCTATGTATGTTATTTATGGATGAACCATATAAAAAAAAAATTCTTCTTTTTTTGTATGCATGCATAGGTTCAGTGATATGGCATCATCAAACAATGGAAGCAACATACTGAAATATAGAAGCAAAACATGTCTGTGTGGTGAAAAGACAACTATCGAGGTGACACAATCTGAAAGAAACAAAAACAAAGGAAAGTTGTACTAGGCTCATACAAAAAGAAAATGCAAATTCTGGGATTGGTGCAAACCTGTTAACTCAACTGATGAAACTATTGATACTGTTCAAAGGCCAATACCTGAAGGCAATTTCAAGAATGTGCATACAAGAGTGCAAGTAGTTGAAGACAACCAAGGATATATGAAGCTATTGATAATCATAAGTTTAGTGATAAGTTTGTTTGCCCTATCTGTTGCCATTATGAAGTAACCTATTTATCATATGTAAAGCTTGTTCTATGAATATGTAATGCAAGGATATCCTAATATTGTGCTAGTTTTTGTGTAATGAAATATGTAAGTGTAAGACAACAAGCTTGTACTACTTTTCCCTTGGAATAAAAGCATGGCAAATCCAAAATTGTGTTCCAATTATGAGTTCTTCAGACATATATAAACAAGTTCAAATATCTTTGTTTTATAGTTACATTTGATGATTCATAGTTACTTGAAATTTACATCCTATAAGAGTGTTGCTATTACATCCCAAAAAAAATAAGCAATCACTATCTCACAATTTACCACTATGCACCTCATCTATCACTACATCATAGTTACAAAAGTATGATCAAGATGGCCACAACAAAAAAACAAAAGCGGGTGTATCATCCTATAAGCACTATGCACTATTTATATATTCTGTACCTGTTCATTGTCACACATGCGATCAAGATGCCCACAATCGAAAAACAAAAGTGGGTGCATCATCCTATAAGCACTATACACTATGCACTATGCACTATCTATATATTCTGTACCTGTTCATTGTCACACATTTGTACCCAAAAATCATCACTAAGTGCATCATTAATCTGCAACAAACAACCAACCAACCAAAAAAAACAAAAAAAAAAAACAATTTAGAGTACATAACTTGCAAATCAAACAATGTAGAGCACTAACCAAACATTCTCAGGTGAAATATTTCTTCCAGATGATCCTCTGCCTCTGCCTCTCCCACTTGGAATATCCTGAATTACAAACAGAAATAAGTTACAAATCAAAATTAGTTAGTGCCATAATAACAATAGAAAAAAAAAAAAAAGTTAAAAGGCAAAGAAAACAAAAGATGGTTACAGATGAAGTGCTTCCTCTGCCTCTGCCTTTGCCTCTCCCAGATGAAGTGTCTCCTCTACCTCTCCCACTTGGAATATCTTGAGTTGCAAACCAAAATTAGTTAGTACCATATTAACAATAGTATAAAAAAAAAAAATACAAAGGCAAAGGCAAAGAAAACAAAAGATGCTTACAGATGAACTGCTTCCTTGGCCCTACCTCTCCTAGATGAAGTGCCTCATCTACTAGATGAAGTGCTGCCTCCTTTGCCAACAGATCTACCTCCTTTGTCAAATAAAGAACCCATGCCTCCGCCAGATGAAATGTTGCCTCCTTTGTCACCCCTGACTGGACCTCTCTGACATGTCCTCTTATTGTGCCCAAATTTCTTGCACCAATTGCATTTCAAAGTGAAAGACCTCTTGGCCTGACTTGTGCCTACAGGAGGCTCATGAACAACCCTTTTCTTGGAATTCTAGGTGAAATATTTTTTCCAGATGATCCTCTGCCTCTGTCTCTCCCACTTGGAATATCCTGAATTACAAACAGAAATAAGTTACAAATCAAAATTAGTTAGTGCCATAATAACAATAGAAAAAAAAAAAAAAGTTAAAAGGCAAAGAAAACAAAAGATGGTTACAGATGAAGTGCTTCCTCTGCCTCTGCCTTTGCCTCTCCCAGATGAAGTGTCTCCTCTACCTCTCCCACTTGGAATATCTTGAGTTGCAAACCAAAATTAGTTAGTACCATATTAACAATAGTATAAAAAAAAAAAATACAAAGGCAAAGGCAAAGAAAACAAAAGATGCTTACAGATGAACTGCTTCCTTGGCCCTACCTCTCCTAGATGAAGTGCCTCATCTACTAGATGAAGTGCTGCCTCCTTTGCCAACAGATCTGCCTCCTTTGTCAAATAAAGAACCCATGCCTCCGCCAGATGAAATGTTGCCTCCTTTGTCACCCCTGACTGGACCTCTCTGACATGTCCTCTTATTGTGCCCAAATTTCTTGCACCAATTGCATTTCAAAGTGAAAGACCTCTTGGCCTGACTTGTGCCTACAGGAGGCTCATGAACAACCCTTTTCTTGGAATTCTTTGGTCTTCCTACCAATCTTTTCAGAGGTGGTGGCTACAAAGGTTCCTCATCTATCAGTGTTCACATAGTGTGGTCTAATATTGAATGTATAATCCCATCATTGGCCATCAAATATTTTTGCTTTGAGTAATAGGGATGCACAAAGTTTTCCACAATCATTCTACTGTGTGAGGTAGCAGCCATAGCATGTGTGCATGGAATCCCAGAAATCTCCCACTCTCTACAAGAACAACTTATCCTATCTACATGTACAATGTGTCTAAGTCCGTCATTGTCCTTAATATCATACTCCTTCTCTCCTGCATACTCTACTTTGCACTTTCTGGACTCATACAAGGTCTTATCAAGCTTCTTCTTAATGTTCAAAGTTACATCGGACTGTCATTGCAATGCTTTTTGATACTTCATTTGAAACTTACCCATTAACTTATATCTTATGGTCTCTAAAATTGTCAAAATTGGTTTACTTCTAGAAATCCCCAACCAATTATTAAATGATTCTGTTATGTTATTTGTGATATGATCATTTCTTATCCTACCATCAAATGCATGCCTAAACCTCACTTCGACAGAAACTTTTTGCCGCCATGCATATGCTTCCTTTGAGATATCTTGAATGGCTTGCATAGCCTCATCATATGCCCTTTGATTTCAAGCCCTTGTTGCCTTTCAAAAGTTCTTCCTCAAGATCATTCAAAGAAATTTACCTCGGAAGTTGTTAAACAAATGCATACAACATCTTCTATGGCTAGCCTCAGGTAGGATTTCACTCACAATTGTGTCAAGACCCTTTTGTCCATCAGATATGATGGTCCAAGGCCTAGTGGGCAATGTATCACTCAGTATTGTTCTCAAGTGTTGTAGGAAAAATGTCCAACTCTCCTTACATTCACACTCCATTACTCTAAACAAGGCCTAAATGTTTTACCAAATATCTCATAGGGGTGTGGGATCCATATGAGACTCACATGGTGTGAGTTTCACACCCATATGAGACATTTGATAAAACACTTGAGATCCCTAATATTTTTTTGCAATCTAATATCTTTCAAATGGCAAAACCTCCTCTCTTAACTATAGACTTTTTTTTGGCCCTAATGTCTGTTTCTCGTTCAAACACACTCACTAGCTCTCTCTAGACTTTTTTTTTGGCCCTGATGTTGTTTCTCTTTCAAACACACACTCTCTCTCTCTCTCTTCGTTTTTTCATTTTTATTTTTCAACCCAAGAAAAGTGTATGTATACATAGCAAAAATATATATCTCAATCACCTCTAACTTGTGTAATTACTAATCAATGGTGTCAAGAAATCAACATTGCTCTGAGTGGGATCTTGGTGAATTTAGATAATGAAAAATTGCTTGGATCCAAAAAAAATTCCAAACAACAATGAACATTTGACCCATCACCAAAGTTTAACTTCGGAAAAACAAAGAACAAAATGTTTTGGAGAATATGAAGGACAGCATAGCTGAATGATTATTTCATTTTAAAAATTTTTAAAATTTAAAAATTTTGTTTTTAGATGTTGCTGAGCAGGAAGTAAACCATGGCTGGCAGTGGTTGATTAGGCATGGTTAGATCCCATGCGCGGGCCAATGTATATAGTAGTTGTCTTCTTGTACAGAGTCACTGCAAAACAGAGCCTTTATATTAATTGATGATTGAGATTTGAATTTATGAACAACATGAATTTCAGTCTCCATTCCTCAAATACTAGTGAATTAGCATCTATTGATATGTAATCATTCCAATAATAAAAAAAACTATATGTCAAAGTTGAAATTTGCAAAATGAGGTCACACATTCTTAGATGTAGACAGTCTGTTACATGTGCCCTTAATATATTTTCTTTGCCATGTGGAACTAAAATATCTATCCTTTAAATTTTGAGAAATTCTATAATACACACCCCAAAATGGGGTGTATACTATACGTATTAATTATGACATTTGTAATATTTAGTTATAATTTATTGTGGTATTAGTTATGATTTGATTATAACTCATTAGAGTGTTAGTGATGACCTATTATGATTACTATTTTTGTTATGCTAAAAAAAAGTCTTTGGTTGTAAGGGTGTGTATTCTAAAATGACCCTTAAATATTTTACTCAAATTTAAGTAAAATTCGAGTAAAGTTTTTATCTGATATGAATAACTCTAATGGACAAACTCATATTTGAGCATAACATTGAGTATAAAATCCACCAATGACAACGGTAGATTTGAAACCTACAAAATAGTTTGTCCCCGTTTGGGAAGTTATTTGGGATTAAAAAAGTACAAAAAATAAAATAACTAAATAAGTCAATAAGACAAAATATCACATCTAAATCATAATTACTTTATTTTTTCTCTCACAAAAAAATAAAGAAGTCAATTTTTTTTTTCTTCAAACGGAACTAATTTAATTAGGTTAAATTAGTCAAAAAAATTAAAAAAAACAGGTTAAAAAAGCTCTTTCCAAACTAACCCCTAATTTTTTTTGAGTAAATATTTGAATCTCTTTTGATTTGGGTATAAGTCAAGGATTGAAAATGCTCCTTACAAGAACAAGATGAAAGGAGAGATTGCATCTGAAAAATTAAAATAATAATGAAGGTAAAATTGTGAAAAGAGAAAATGAAAGAAACATTAAAGGGGTAAATATAGTCCGGTTCAGCCCACTTGGGTCTGGGTTTGGGCTGGCCTATGTCAGGCTGCGCAGGCTCCCGTTAAAATTCAAGCTATCTCACGGGTCAGAAAATTAGACCTAGGCCCAGGCTCATGGGGTATTCAAGTCTTGGGCATGAATATTTTTAATTTTTTTTTAATTTTTTTCACCAAAATTTTATTCTTTTCCACTGAAAATGACATTAGGCCTCTGGCGGGCAGAGTTTTGAGTGAGTCTTGAGCGGGTGACAAGTCAAGCTTCAAAATGATAGTCCAGGGTCTCGGGCTCATCCCAAATTATGAGCCATTTTTACATCCTTTTAAGAGAGGATAGTAGAAGGCCTATAGTTAACAGAGGATGTTTGACCTTTGGAAGACATCAAATTGCAAGCGGCAATGATTTGGTACAATGAAGAATTTTTACTCAGAAAGCGTTGGCTGTGAACAGGGGTTTAAATTTGGTCTAGGCCGGCCTATGTTGGGTTTTGCTGGTTCCTGTCAAAATTCGGGCCAGCTCGGCCCGACCTCCGAGCCATAAAATTAGGCCCAGGCTTAGGGGGTATTCGAACCTCAAGCTGGGCCTAGGCTCGGGCTTGAGTAGGGCTTGAACATTTTTTTATATTATTTTTTATTTTATTTTTCATAAAAAATGACACTAGGTCTCAAGAGGGCCAGTTTTGAGTGGGTCGAGTTTCAAAATGATGTCGCAGGCCCAAGCTCAAACCCAGGGTCCTAGATTGGGCTTGGGCCCGGCCTAACCAGGCTCGGCTCATCTCGGGCCGCCCATGAACCACGAACGGATTTCGAGCAGCTCACAAATCGCAAACTATTTTTACACTCCTAGTTATGAATATGTATTGTTGAATCATAGTTTTATTCCAAAAAGTAGCCAGCTCATAATTCAAAACAAAAATATTAGAGATTTTAAAATTTTTATTAAAATTAATATCTCACACACACACACACACACACACACACACACACACACACACATATATATATATATATATATCAATGTAAATATTTAATAAAAATTTTGATAAATTTTTTTATATCTCTAACCTTGCTCATTTCAAAACATATTATTACATAATTTCAATTTTTTGATCATATGCAATTAATTAATTTATTTTTTTAATAGTACTTTAAAAAGATTTAAATTAGTAGTAAATTTTAGCAAATCAAACCTAGCTTTAAATTCCATCAAATAGGATTGACTGTATGAATATTGATTTTCCACTCGACTCAATCCATTAATAGTAACTTTTAAGGCCTCGTTTGGGAATATACTTTTTTAGTAACTTTTTGACTAAAATATGATATTAAAAAAACTAGTATGTTTGGGGTGATTTTTTAATTTTTTACGAAAATATATGCAAAAAGTAGAAATAAAAGAAAATCTTTAACTTTTTTATATAAGTTGTTGACTTTTTTATTTTTTTAGTAACTTTTTTACTTTTTAGCTAAAAAAATCACTTGCCAAATGAGATATAATAATTAAAGTTATGATTTTTTTAATAACTTTGCAAATATGTTAAAAAGATATCACTGATTTGTAATTTTTTTAATAATATTTTCATATATATAAGAATATTATAATTGGTGAGCTCCCGCATTTCACTAGAAATCAATTTTATTAAAATCTCTCCACTTGGGATCAAATCTCATCAGTTATCAGTTCCGTTTAAGTTTCTTGCTTACTTTAATTTTTTTTTTGTTATTACTATAATTATAATTTATTATGAATCATATTAATATATATAAACACTATTTATTATTTTTTTAATCAAACACTATTTATTATTTTTGTATCCATTATATACATACAAATATATATACACAAATCTCAAACGCATGGAGATAGACGTTTATTATTATAAAAAAGGATTGATACATTAAATTTAAATTCGATTAAATTATGTAAGTCGGATAATTGAACGACTAGTCAACGTTATTCTTGTTAATTGACATGTTGATCGGCATTTATCAAATAATTAACTTTTTTCTGAATAATCGGCCGACGTGTACAAATTTAAACGTTTCCAACGAGTTCAAATTCAATAAATGCATTATCGTATATTCCCACTGGCGCGCACCATTCCGTACACCTCCGAGTCTCTTTTCTCTCTCTCTCTCTCTCACCTTGCATTGAAGGACAGCAAAACAACAACCCCTTTCGTCACCTTCCAATCCCAATCTCTCACATGACTCCTCCTCCGCCACTCTCCTCCGCCGCCACAATCATCACCTTCCTCACCATCATCGCCGCCACCTCTCCTCCCCCACTCCGCTCCACCTCCTCCACCCTAGCCGTCACTTCCTCCCACCGTCTGCGTCATCGTCGCCGGCCAACCCACCCAAACAATTCAATGCTACAAAAACTCCCACACCCTTCCCATCTCCCCCAACATCTCCTTCCGCTCCATCTCCGCCGGCGCCGATCTCCTCTGCGGCCTAATCTCCGGTGGCTTCAGCTTCCTCTGTTGGGACCCCCAAAATCTCCTACCTAAGCGGATTTATTACAGTTATAGTAACCGCTTAACCGATTTAACTGTCGGAAACTCTCATGTCTGCGCAATTCAGGCCAACAATGGTGAAGCTCTGTGCTGGAGGTTTCCTTCACCAGAGGTAGCATGGAAGTTCCGTACAATCACTTCCGGTGGTGGGTTTTCTTGTGGGATATTGACGAATAACAGTAGAGTTGTTTGTTGGGGAGAGAGTGAAATTGGAGATGAGATTCAGAGGGAGTTTGGTAATCTTACCATGTGGAGCATAGTTGCAGGGGTGTCTCATGCTTGTGGATTGACACAGACTGGGATTTTGATCTGTAAAGGAAGCAATTCAAGTGGACTGCTAGATGTTCCTTCTCATTTACCATTCGAATTTGAAGGTATTGCAATGGGTTCAAATCATAGTTGCGCAATTCAGAGCAAAAATGGGTTGGTTCTGTGTTGGGGAGGAGGGTCAAGAAGATCGGAATTTGTGAGAGATGAATTGAAATATGAATCTTTCGAGGCCATAGAGGCTGGTTTGGATTTTATATGTGGATTGACGACGAAGAATTTATCGGTGATTTGTTGGGGGCCTGGGTGGTCTAATGGGCTTAGCTTGCTTCCCTTGCCAATGGCAATTCCGGGTCCGTGTGTTCAATCTTCTTCATGTAGCATTTGTGGTGTGTACCCAAATTCAGATAGTCTCTGTGCTGGTTCTGGAATCATATGCAAATCCTGTAATGCTGAACTCCCAATTCCAGCAATAATTCTGCCACGGCCGCTGCAACCACCGAAACCGCCACTGTCACCGTTGCGAGTTCTACCGCCACTCTCTCCGCCACCGGGAGCCAAAAAAAGGCTTTTCTTGGCGTTTGGGGTTGTTGGATTCATCGGGGGTTTTATAGGGATTTGCAGTGTTGTTTATTGCTTGTGGAAGAGTGGTGTTTGTGGTTTGTTCCAAAACAAAATTCATTGTTCTGTGCAACCCACAATTGGGAGGGCTAATGTGGGTACTTCAATGGCTGCTAATGGTGGTTCTAATGTGAGATTAGCCTCTTTGAAGTGCCAAAACTCGCGAACGTTGAGGCGGCAAAGGAGCGGGACTAGTACTTCATCGAAGCAAGCCGACAGGGTGGAGAAATTTTCCCTAACAGAGCTCGGTGTCGCCACCAACAACTTCTCTCCCGAAAACAAGATAGGTAGAGGAAGCTTTGGAACAGTTTACAGAGGCGAACTTGCTGACGGTCGCAAAGTAGCCATCAAAAGAGGTGAGATTGGTGCGAGAATGAAGAAATTGAGAGAAAAAGAGACTGCATTTGATTCAGAGCTAGCATTGTTATCACGGCTTCACCACAAACACTTGGTGGAGCTTGTGGGATTTTGCCAAGAAACCGATGAGAGGCTCTTGGTTTATGAGCACATGAGCAATGGGTCGCTACATGATAATCTCCACAACACAAACAATATTGAAAATCGCTGCAGTGTCTTGAATTCTTGGAGAATGAGGATCAAAATTGCGTTAGACGCTGCCAGAGGAATCGATTATCTCCACAACTATGCGGTGCCACCGATAATTCACAGAGACATCAAGTCCTCAAACATCCTCCTGGATGTGAATTGGACAGCCAAAGTGTCTGATTTCGGATTATCATTAATGGGTCCAGAGCCTGATCAAGAGTCCATGTCAAGCAAGGCAGTTGGGACAGTTGGGTATATTGATCCTGAGTACTATGTACTGAACATTTTGACAGTTAAGAGTGATGTCTACGGCTTAGGAGTGGTCTTGTTGGAGCTTTTGACAGGGAAGAGAGCAGTGTTTAAGGAGGGATTGTGTCCTATGGGGGTGGTGGAGTATGCAGTGCCGCTGATAGCAGCAGGGGAGCTAGATAGTGTGTTGGATAAAAGGGTGGCGCCACCAGATGTGAGGGAGGCCGAGGCGGTGGAGCTGGTGGCTTACATTGCTAAGCATTGTGTTAAATTGCAGGGTTGGGAAAGACCCTCCATAACTGACATTGTGGTTAATTTGGAGAGAGCTTTGGCTCTTTGTGAGGGTGGCATTTCTAGTCCCACTTGCTACATTGATAATTCACAATGAAATTTCACTTCTCTCATTTTTTTTCTTCTTCGTGGTTATGATTTGTTCTAATACAAGCTTATTTTGATTGAAATGAAGGGAATTGCCTCGTTCTTTCTATTACTAAAAAGAGTTATTTATTCATTTTTTTTTTCTCCGGATTTTCTCGCTCTCTTTCCAATGCATACAAATTGAGTAATGAGATACAAATAGAATTTTAGCATAGAATTTACATACGGAATTATGCGGTTTTATGATTTTTTATAATACGCATTATTTTAATTTGTAGTTTAAAGAACATTGTGTTATTCTAGTTGAGGTTTTTATATTCAAATTATATTTATAAATTATTTTTCACACGTAGATCAAATTGTTGTGTCTTTAGGTTCTTAGTGAAAGATTTGGGTTTTGAGTTTATAAAAAAACCACTTAATGTTGGATTCTGCTAACTTAACTTACTAAGCCGTTAACATTTTACTTGTTGCACAAAAAAATTAATAATAATATAGTAAAACCCATACAAATTTGAGGTGTTAATGATATTTTTAGAGGGAATAATATATATATATATATATATTTGTAAATTTGTCAAAGATGTTTCAACATTGATGGATTTTCGATATAGATTTTTGAATTTTTGACACTCACAATGGTTTTTTCTTTTCTTAAGCCTTCTTTCATTTCATTGTAAGTGTTCTTTCTCTTCAACTCCAACTTCTGGTGGTGTCCAAAGTATGGTAGTGGCGGTGGCGGTGGCGGTGGCGGAGTTGGACAGCGGCAACGGAGACGACATTGACTACAGGTTGTGATACAGATCTAACTTTTCAAACTACATTTATGAGAAGATTAGTAGTTTTTTTTTGAATCGTAACTGATTTTTTTAACGGATTATTTATTTATTTATTTTCTTGTTTTGTTGTATGGTTGTGTGTTTGACTCTTTAAGGTCTTGTTTTTCTTTTGTTGATGTGTTGTTTGCTTTTTTTTTCATATTTTAAAAAATATAAAATAAAATAAAAAAACATTGATGAAGGATAGCATGTGCATTGATAATGATCGAGTCAGCTAAAGATCATCCCAAGCAGCATGATGAACAGTGGTTGATTTTTATTGTATGCAAGCAACAAACCATTAGTTAAAGGTGAAAAAGCATGCAAGCCACAGCTTCTGATACACTGAAAAGAAAAAAGAAAAAATATGCATCATAAGTTTCTTGTATAATGTTTTTTAGAAACATTTTTTCAAAAGCAACATCATTTTTTCAGGGAAAAAAGGAAAGTGTAGCAAAAAGTTTAAGATTGTCTTTAGATCAATAATTTGAGTAGAAATTTACAGAGAAGAAATAAAGCAAAGGAAAAGTAAAAACAAATTAGCCACTGTTTTACTTTTTCTTTTCCCTCTATAAATTTATTTTCAAATTCATGATTCAAACATAATATAAAAATATAAATATTTATATTTCTAAAAAAATATTAAGGGATTTTTTTTTAAGATCCCTGTTATTATGATTTTATAGCATAAAGGACATTCAATATTTTTATAATGTCTAAGGTTCTTCAACATCAATCCAGAGAAAATTTGATCCAAAGAAAATTTAACCAAAGAAAATTTAATCCAGATAAATTCTCTGATCTAAACCAGAGAAAATTCAATTCAGAGAAATTCAATTCTGTCTAAAATTTACCTCTCATTATAGCCAAAATGAGGTGTACAATTCTAGAAACCACATTCCTTGGTGGAGAGTGCTGGTTTCCAAAGGTTCTGATGGAGTAATGAATGAAAGTAAAAGGAGTGACTGAACTCATTATCCACTCCAATGCATTCAATACCAAAAGCTCCATTCTCTGAATAACTTTGCTCTCAAAGTTACATTCCAATTGAAACTGTGAGGGTGATGGTACTCTGTATTCCTCCATCTTCGTTGCCAAAGACAAGCACGCCACTGATAACAATTGCATTGCCCACCACTTGTCACTCTGCTTTTAATTATAATAACCACCAATCAACCAAAAAACTTTAAAATTCATAATCAAAATTGAAATTGAAATCAAACTTACATCAATAGCTCGCCTCGAAAAAAACCGATCAAAATGAACCCAGAGAAAATTCAAATTTCTCTGGTCCATTACTCTCTTCACCATTGCACCATTACTCTCTTTGTTGCTGCTGTGACTGGAATTATGAGCAACATCATGACATTTGGGTTCTTCTTCTAACTCCGACATTTGGGTTCTTCTCCTAGAGAAATTTACTCAAACTCAGAGAAAATAGCCCTCCAACACAGAGAAATTCACTGAAATCTAGAGAAAACTAGAGAATTTCTCTGGTTTCAACCTAGAGAAAATTCAGTTCAAAAATTAGAGAATTTCTCTGGTTTCAACTCAGAGAAAATTCAGTTCAAATGATCATCTGAAGAACCACTATCTAATGCTTTTCTTCACCACTCAACTTACTAGTTTCAGTGTTTGGGCCAAAGATCTCTTCAATCATGTTCCCAGATGATACAAAATCAAAATCTTCAAATAGACTCATTGGATACCTGGCTTCCCAGAGTTTAGCATCACATGATTCTATCAAAAAACTGGGGTTCAACCTGTCACTCGACCCATCATCAATCCTGAAAAAACCCAGACTCACCAATACACAGGTCGCGAAAGTGCAGATAGAGAATCCGCACCCAATAGAGCTGAGTACCATGCACACGAGTGCGAGGCCGTAGACATGCCGTCGGCCCATACGATCGCCAAGGTATCCGAAGATTAGCTGACCGATGACGCATCTCATCTTCGACCTATCGATCCACAATGTTTAGTTGGGAGAGAGAACCTGGAAGTTGAAGCTGGGAAGAGGAGGGAAGTCGTTGAGGAAATCAGAGGGTTTCTTGGAGCTGCGACGCATCTCATCTTCGACCTATCGATCCACAATGTTTAGTTGGGAGAGAGAACCTGGAAGTTGAAGCTGGGAAGAGGAGGGAAGTCGTTGAGGAAATCAGAGGGTTTCTTGGAGCTGCGACGCATCTCATCTTCGACCTATCGATCCACAATGTTTAGTTGGGAGAGAGAACCTGGAAGTTGAAGCTGGGAAGAGGAGGGAAGTCGTTGAGGAAATCAGAGGGTTTCTTGGAGCTGCGACGCATCTCATCTTCGACCTATCGATCCACAATGTTTAGTTGGGAGAGAGAACCTGGAAGTTGAAGCTGGGAAGAGGAGGGAAGTCGTTGAGGAAATCAGAGGGTTTCTTGGAGCTGCGACGCATCTCATCTTCGACCTATCGATCCACAATGTTTAGTTGGGAGAGAGAACCTGGAAGTTGAAGCTGGGAAGAGGAGGGAAGTCGTTGAGGAAATCAGAGGGTTTCTTGGAGCTGCGACGCATCTCATCTTCGACCTATCGATCCACAATGTTTAGTTGGGAGAGAGAACCTGGAAGTTGAAGCTGGGAAGAGGAGGGAAGTCGTTGAGGAAATCAGAGGGTTTCTTGGAGCTGCGACGCATCTCATCTTCGACCTATCGATCCACAATGTTTAGTTGGGAGAGAGAACCTGGAAGTTGAAGCTGGGAAGAGGAGGGAAGTCGTTGAGGAAATCAGAGGGTTTCTTGGAGCTGCGACGCATCTCATCTTCGACCTATCGATCCACAATGTTTAGTTGGGAGAGAGAACCTGGAAGTTGAAGCTGGGAAGAGGAGGGAAGTCGTTGAGGAAATCAGAGGGTTTCTTGGAGCTGCGACGCATCTCATCTTCGACCTATCGATCCACAATGTTTAGTTGGGAGAGAGAACCTGGAAGTTGAAGCTGGGAAGAGGAGGGAAGTCGTTGAGGAAATCAGAGGGTTTCTTGGAGCTGCGACGCATCTCATCTTCGACCTATCGATCCACAATGTTTAGTTGGGAGAGAGAACCTGGAAGTTGAAGCTGGGAAGAGGAGGGAAGTCGTTGAGGAAATCAGAGGGTTTCTTGGAGCTGCGACGCGATATGCTGAAAAGAAAAAAGAAAAAATATGCATCATAAGTTTCTTGTATAATGTTTTTTAGAAACATTTTTTCAAAAGCAACATCATTTTTTCAGGGAAAAAAGGAAAGTGTAGCAAAAAGTTTAAGATTGTCTTTAGATCAATAATTTGAGTAGAAATTTACAGAGAAGAAATAAAGCAAAGGAAAAGTAAAAACAAATTAGCCACTGTTTTACTTTTTCTTTTCCCTCTATAAATTTATTTTCAAATTCATGACTCAAACATAATATAAAAATAAAAATATTTTATATTTCTAAAAAAATATTAAGGAATTTTTTTTTAAGGTCCCTGGTACTATGATTTTATAGCATAAAGGACACTCAATATTTTTATAATGTCTAAGGTCCCTCAACATCAATCCAGAGAAAATTCGATCCAGAGAAAATTCAACCAGAGAAAATTCAATCCAGAAAAATTCTCTGCTTCAAACCAGAGAAAATTTAATTCAGAGAAATTCAATTCTGTCTAAAATTTACCTCTCATTATAGCCAAAATGAGGTGTACAGTTCTAGAAACCACATTCCTTGGTGGAGAGTGATGGTTCCCAAGGGTTCTAATGGAGTAATGAATGAAAGCAAATGGAGTAACTGAACTCATTATCCACTCCAATGCATTCAATACCAAAAGCTCTATTCTCTGAATAACTTTGCTCTCAAAGTTGCATTCCAATTGAAACTCTGAGGGTGATGGTACTCTGTATTCCTCTATCTTCGTTGCCAAAGACAAGCACGCCACTGATAACAATTGCATCGCCCACCACTTGTCACTCTGCTTTTAATTATAATAACCACCAATCAACCAAAAAACTTTAAAATTCATAATCAAAATTGAAATTGAAATCAAACTTACATCAATAGCTCGCCTCGAAAGAAACCGGTCAAAATAAACCCAGAGAAAATTCAAATTTCTCTGGTCCATTACTCTCTTCACCATTGCACCATTACTCTCTTTGTTGCTGCTGTGACCGGAATTATGAGCAACCTCATGACATTTGGGTTCTTCTTCTAACTCAGACATTTGGGTTCTTCTTCTAACTCAAACATTTGGGTTTTTCTCCCAGAGAAATTTATTCAAACTCAGAGAAAATCGCCCTCCAACCCAGAGAAATTCACTGAAATCCAGAGAAAACTAGAGAATTTCCCTGGTTTCAATCCAAAGAAAATTCAGTTAAAAAACCAGAGAATTTCTCTAGTTTCAACCCAAAGAAAATTCAGTTCAAATGATCATCTGAAGAGCCACTATCTAATGCTTTTCTTCATCACTCAACTTACTGGTTTCAGTGTTTGGGCCAAAGATCTCTTCAATCATGTTCCCAGTTGACACAAAATCAAAATCTTCAAATAGACTCATTGGGTACTTGGCTTCCCAGAGTTTAGCATCACATGGTTCCATCAAAAAACCGGGGTTCAACCTGTCACTCGACCCATCATCAATCCTGAAAAAACCCAGACTCACCAATACACAGGTCGCGGAAGTGCAGATAGAGAATCCGCACCCAATAGAGCTGAGCACCATGCACATGAGTGCGAGGCCGTAGACATGCCGTCGGCCCATACGATCACCAAGGTATCCGAAGATTAGCTGACTGATGACGGGCCCTAAGAGTGCGATGGCAACCATGGTGGAGGTGATGGCGATAGGGACTGAGTTATGGCGAGAACGGTGACAATCTATCCGAAGATTAGCTAACCGATGACGCATCTCATCTTCGACCAATCGATCCACAATGTTTAGTTGGGAGAGAGAACCTGGAAGTTGAAGTTGGGAAGAGGAGGGAAGTCGTCGAGGAAATCGGAGGGTTTCTTGGAGCTGCGACGCATCTCATCTTCGACCAATCGATCCACCTCTTCTTTGACTTCGACCAAATTTCTCTGATACATGTTTAGGGACTTTAGACATTAAAAAATAATTTTGTAGATCTCTTTCATTACGAAAAGTGGGAGAGGGACCCTAAACTATTTTTTCCAAATATTAGTACTTTAGTTGTAGTCATTGATGCATGCATATTGACTAAAGTCATTATTTGAATTGGCTTAGGAATGCAGTGCTAAACAACCAACAAGAAATGTCAAGAATACAAAAATTCATAATAGACATAAATAAATAAATATTACGAAATTTGTGCGTTCGGTCTATCCAGGTGTTTGTGTCTAATTCGGCCCTTAACCAAACTAATGTCTTGAGGGTTGATTGGAAATCCGCAGATGAGGCAACAGTGGTGCCCAATCTCAACAGGTACAGGCTGGATTGAAACTGGGGAGGTAAGGGAAATCAAAAAAAATCCATTAAACCGATTGAATTAGACTAAATCAGCTATATTTAATATATTTTTTAACAAGAATCAGTTTGTGTGATTTTTAAATTTGATTTTTTTTTATTTTCAGTTTGATATTGGTTCAAACACCTTGTACATCGAACTAAATCGAAACCGACCGCTTCAATATATATTGTATTTATAATATATGTATATAATCTAATAATATAATGATTTTAATAAGTATAATAAATTATTAACTTTAATTAATTAACTTTATTATCTTTATTACCTAAGTTTGTAACTCTTATTATATATAATCTTAACTTTAACTCATTATTCTTGAAATCTTAGTATTTTTTAACTCTTTTTTTTTTTTTTTATATTTTTGTTAATGTAGAAATTGGAAAGTATTTATTAAATGGATAGATTGGATATCTTTAAAATGGTGGACAAATAACTAATTTAATATTTTTCTATAGATTAGTAATTACATTTAAAAGTGACTTAAGTTTGAAAAATTCTAGACCGATTAAATCGCATCGAACCGAACCGTTTCAATCTGTTCGATTCGGTGCGGTTTGATAAGAGAAACGACCTATACCAGTGTTTAAAATAATAAAACCAATATTATTAACTCAGTGTAATTTTTTATCTAGATACTGACCGTACCGAACGACTACAACCCTAGTTAAAACAAGACTTGATGAATGCGTAGATTCAAGAAATTTAATAATGTATAAAGCATGTGACGTGATCCTCGTTGGAGATTAAAAGAAATAGTAATAAAATATCAGGATCCAATAATTGGATTATTAAGTCAAGATCATCAGGTGTCTTAGTTTAAAAGGTTAATGAAGATAAGAGACATGTGGGTCTACATGATAATTAACTTTCACCAACCTCAATGGACTTATAGCCACTTAACTCTTATGACAAACAATTTACACTAATAATAACGTGTATATCTTAAGCATCGTAATATTTTTATAGAATTCGATTTATCGAATTTTAAATAAGATGGGATATTACAATGTTTATTGTGAGCGTAGCAGATTTAATAAGGTATTGTACACAGAGGAATGATAACTTCAATGAAATAGGAATGTAACATCAAACAGTTCCATGTTAGGGAGTGATATTTTGGAGGTCTCAAACATCTATCAGTTTGAAACGCATAAGAAGTCGAACAGAATTGTATTGTTGTCCCTTACGATCATTCAGTGGAACAGCTCGTAGTCCACTTCTTAATTCTGAAACGGGGAAGCACGTTTGGCCTCCAAAATCGTTCTTACCCGATGTGTCATACTCCATCACTTCAATCCGAAGCAAAGCCAATTCAGGAACCCTGAGAGGGAATTCAAATTCCTCGTTCCATACTGGCACCCACTCATCCTCAATCGCTTTTGTCCTCTTCATTATCGAATCCTTTGGTACTCCTGCAATACCAACCTGCAAAGCCATAATGATTTCAATGAGAAATATTATTTAGCTTCAAGGTACTGAAACAACAAAGACAGGGACACTTCGATGCGCATTCAACTTTTGAAGTTCAAGAACTCGAAGCACGTATTCAAGAGCCCTTCAAAGTTGTTTAGTGCAACTTCTGTCAAGTTGAAAGTTGATAATCAGAAAATAAAAGTTGAAAGCACAGAACCAAATAATCTGGAACAAATTTTCAAAATAAAAAAGGTATAAGCAACTCCATAAGTTGCACCAAACAGCCCCTAAGTAGATAGTCTGTCCATAGCTGAGAATTAAAAAACTAAGTACACTGTTGTGTGTTGCTATATACAGAAATATATACAATCAATATGGAATAAGAGAGATAAATATTCAGATAAATATAAATTTTCGTTGTCTTAGATCATACCCTCGCATAGAAGTCTGGTGGGGAATACGTATCAAAGTGTGTACGGGAGAAATCTAAATGCCATCCGTCCCCCAGATAAACTTTTACCTGCTCAGTGATGAAGGTTAGCAGAGATTCACTTTAAAGGGGGAGAGAGAGACACAGAAGAAATCTAACATTGCATTTCTGGGAGAATTCCACACCTTCAATATTTGCTTAATTGGTAATTCCTTTCTCGGATCAAAATCCACTTTATCATTCAATAGAAAACCTGGCTTTTTCACATAACCACAGCCACCATTAGCTCTGAACATTCCATGCATGATCCAAAGGAACTTTCCGTATCCCTGTTAAATGCAAAGGAAAATAGAGAAGGAAGGCTACATCACGTATAGGCAAATGGTCTGACAAATAATTTTCCTTCAAGAATAAAATAAAGGAATCTTTTTTGATAAATTTGAAATCCATATTCCTATTTCACCAATTAAACAGTTATAAATAAGAACAAAGCACCAAAGCAAGGACTAATCATGCAAGACACAAAACTATTAGGTAATTGTGCTTCCAGTAAAAGAAATCCCCTCACATCTCAAATCTCTTTCCTAAAGTTGCTCAAATTTTTAATTAATAAAAAAAGAAAAGTGTCCAAAAAGGTTGTGTGATCTACCCTCAACTAATTCAACCAATTTTTCCTTGGTTGTTAACATTTTACTTGGGTCAATCTTGATAATTATAATTTATATCCTCTAACATCTAAGATGATGATGAGACTACGCTTGGGTCAACCTTTTGTTTTAGCCAAAAAAGTTATTATAAGTTGTCACATCATTCTCTCTACTTTTTTATATATCTTTTCGTAAAAAATCAAAAAATTACTAAAATAGATTGTTCCCAAACGAGGCCTAAGTTGGAGATGTAGGATAAAGAGTGTTTATTTGTATACCACTCACCAGATTAGTAATACTATAGATAGTATTAATATATAAAATTATTATTTTTTCATTTTTAGTATTTTTTTAATATTATAATTATTTTTTTTGTTCTAAAAAATATAAATTTTGCATAAAAACTATTTAAAAATTCACTAATGGGGGGATTATTAGTCCAAGGGGATAATTAATCCCCTCACTCGTGTCCCCAACCAAACACTCTTTAGATGGATCCCACAGACTATTAGTTCAATTCCCCTCCCCAAAGAGCCAAACAAACATGGCCCAAAAAGGTTTTAGGCAGCCTCCTCACTAACGAAGACAACTGTTGCTTGCTGATTAGTACCTCTTCACATCCCAGCATAAAAGTTCTCTCCAATAACTGTTTCTGATAGTGCTGGATCAAAGACTACTGCAGTTTTATGGTCTATTCTGTCAGAAAATATTAATTGGCACAATGCTTCCAAAGATATGATCTAGCAGTTGTCCAAGCATGGATGTGGGACTACATAGCTAGAACAACTTGACCAAACTGGTAATCATAATGTACTCCCAAATTCAGAGAGAGAGAGAGAGAAGAGGCAAATAGAGGATACATTTGTTTGCAATAAGACCACATTCAAATCTGGTTGGTATTGCTTAATTATGTATTTCCATTTACAAGTAGAACATGAGCACAAAAAAATTAGATTTTATGCAACAATGGAAAGTGTTTGAAAACGTCACTAAAAGTTGGAAAATTTAGTATTCAATGTAGATAACAAAACAAGAAATCTGACCTGCATGTTAAATGCAACCATTTGAGCTCCATGTGCCCATCCAACTAAAGGATTGTAATTAGATGAGTCGAAGCGTATACCCTTAGGGTATACTCTCAGTAAATTCCGCTGGGTAAACCTTAACAACAAAAGTAATTATACTGAATTATCCAGATGTGAAAGCGAGATATTTAGTGAACACCCAATGTTAAAGGAAAATGCTAAATAAACAAGTTGGCCCCACTACTTTGTATCTAATGGGTAAGAAACATGAGTAAGAAATCTATGTATGCATAGCATTGCCCAATGTTAAAACAATTGTGGCAGTTATGGTCACAATAAGAATAATTAAATTCCAAGGGTTTCCTAAAGAAATATCGAGCATGTCTGGATCAGAATTCTTGTGCATGAACCTCAATTTACGAATGTTTCAGGCGAGCTAATGAATTGGCTCAGAAAAATAATTGTCTAAATTTTAGCACATGATGCTTGGATGACATGATTCCTCAATTAGTCACGACCCTAATGCAGTCAGCCCTTGAAAAGTTGGGTTTCCCAAAGTCATGGTCTCAACCTCACCATAGTCACCATGCCCACCACCATAAAATACTGATTTTGGAAATGTCTAAGGTGATTCTGCAATTTCCTTCAAGAATAACAGTTGCAATGATGTAATACTGATTGTTCTTGTTTCAGTAGCCATAGGTTTGCAATTTAAGTGGATTAAAAAACTCTGATAAATGCAATAGACAAACACGTATAAAGCATGATAGCATAGATAGAAGCCACTTTTTAAATGGATCATTCTGAAAATCTTGCAATCACCTGACGATATGGGGTGCATATTCTGTTATAGCATTTTCAAGCTCTTGCTCGCTCAAGCTAAGGCGTCTAACTTTATTTGGATCATCAAGAAACCAGTTATGTATTCCGCCTTTCAACTTCCCAGCATGAATGGCAATTAAACGCCTATATTCAGGAACAGCATGCTGTATATCTTCATCCTGAGGTTCTCCCTCATCTAGTTCATCCTGCTTGCAAATGGTAAGCCCAAAATTAAGGAAATAATAATTGATGCACTAAGAGTAAAAGCAAAATAAATTTTAATACACATGCACCTTATCATCTGTTTGAATTTCATTTTCCCTAGGTTCTTCCTCTGCTGAAGCCTTCACCTTCTTCGAATTCACTTTTTGCTTCATATCAGATTCTAGGTATTCTTTTGGTGGTTTGGTTGAGATAATAATCTTTTTTTTCAGTGATTCTGGTGAAGGGAGCTCCTTTAAGTCTGACTCGGGGTGAAACAGTGTGACTCCAAATGTTTCAGTGACCAACTACAGGAAAACTTATTTGCAGTAACAAATTGGTACAATTTAAAACAAGTAGAAAGGTTAAAGGCCACAGAATGTAAAGATACTCACAGTAGCCACTTTAGCTTGAAGATCTGAAGTAAGATGGTCTTCAAAAGTTATTACAACAGGATATTCAGAAGCAACAAATGCATAATCCTTAATCACCCGCAAACATGAGATGAGTTCTACTGGAGTGGTCAGTGTTCTAAAATCACAAAGAAAAAACAACCAATTGAATCAAATAGAGCAAATAAATGTAGTCCTTAAAATATGGGATATCAGATTTCATGAATGCCAATAATTTTTGGCCAAGTGTACACACAATACATTATATCCACAAATAGTAAGGTCGTTTATATAATTGGTTTTTGTCCATGATGAAAACCAAAGTGTGACACAATGAAGAAAAAAAATATGGGATCCAAATGGTCATGCAGATTTCCTAGAAAAATGAGTAGATTCTAGGGATACTTACGTGTAGGTCCTAATAAGTGGACTTATTATCTAATAGGTCCTATGGGAAAAATTTGTCACAAAAAACATCACTAATTATAAGTTTTAGTGACAATTTATAAAAATCATGACAAAAAAAGTCACTAATTGTCAATTTTTAGCGACATACATAAAAAATTGTCACAAAAAAATTATTTTTAGCAACAATTTTACCAAGACTTATTTTCAATAGGACTTGATGAGAATTAAAGTCAAACTATTAGGACCTATTGGTAGTTTACCCTAGATTTTTCTAGAAGGTTAGAGGTGCTTCAAAGAGAGTAATGGTTAAGTGAAAGCAGTGTAAGAATAAATTTTCATTAGCTGAGAGACGTGAAGTACAAAACCTAACCTCCCTTCATGCTTTTTAATGCCATTCTCTCATCCTCTCTTATCCTTTTTCTCCCTTTTCTTCTTCTTTTCTTTTCTTTTGTCTTTTCCATTTGTGCCATATGTGCAACGAATATAAATTGAGAAGATAATAGAAAAAGACCTACACATCACCATCAACTCAAAATAAACCATATTGAGTTGAAAATCTTGTAAACAAATGCAGGTTGGTTTCATACCCTCCATGGCGAACTTCAGCCTCATGTTTTTCCGCATTTGGCCATAAGTCCAGTTCAATAACTCTTACACCTCTCATTAGAGCTTTTTTGATAGGCTCAACACTGCAGTCACTACTGAGTTGGTTTCCTGTTAAGTACGAGTTGTGGCCTGTGTGCAAGAAATAATGTGCCAATGGAGCATTCATGTCATGATGCACCTGGTCCAAATAAATGTTTCATAATTCATTTCATGTCAATGATTTTGTAAAGTGCACAAATTTATAATTTTTTTTTGGGTAAAATTGAATAGTATATAACAAAGAAGGTGCTTAATTGAGAATCTATACAAAAAATTATAAACTCAGCCTAATCATATAAACTTAATTTGAATTTGTCTGATTTATATCCTTTGTCAGAATTACTTTCACTTACAAGCATGTTGACGTCTATAAGCTATCCTTATCCTACAAACTTAATTTGGTTGAAAGGTATAAATATTCATCCAGATTTATATGTAACATTCATGACATCCAAAATTCAAGTAGAAGCTAAATGTATGATAGTTTGGCATGTACAATATACAAAGAAAGAGAATTTTTTTAAAATTGAAGTTTCAGAATTGTTACACCAGTATTTGCAATGCTTTAAAAAACTATTAGGCTCTGTTTGCATAGATGTGGATTTCAAATCAATGGATTTGAGGTTGGATTATAAAATTATTAGAGTTACCTATTATAGGTAGATAGAAAAACTAGAAAAAAATGAATTTTACTAGCATCTTTGTAGCTAAAAGGAGAATTCTTAGCATGATTTCAAATAAAAGGTATTAAAAATGCATCATGAAAAAGCTCTTTAATGTAATCTTCAAATACTTAGATAAACTATCAAATCTAAATTTGAGTTATTCATATTGCTTTCTTCTTGAATGAATAATGCCAAAGCCATGCATTTCAAATCCATAAAAACAAACGGAGCCTTAGTCTCTGTTTAGATGGATGAATTTTAAATGAAAGAATTTGAGGTTAAATTTTATAAAAACACAAGAGATTAAGCTATTATAGATGTATTAAGAACACTATCAGTCTCTGCGTGGAAGCTGGATGGATGGATTTCAAATGAAAGAATTTGAGGTTAAATATTATAAAAACATAAGATTAAGCTATTATGGGTGGATTGAGAAAACTGTTAGTCTTTGTTTGGCCGAATAGATTTCAAATGGAACAATTTGAAGTTGAATTTTATAAAAATATAAGAGATTAAGCTATTATTGGTGGAATGAGAAACTAAAGAGGTAGATAAATTAAAGATAATCAAATCCACCAGAATCTTGATATTTGTTAGCTTGATATATGTATTATTTTGGATTCATTTTTTAATAGCTAGTCTTTTAAGACAATTGGTAACTTAACATAGCATCAAAGCTTTGGGTTCAGGTTCCAGGAAATCTTGAATCAAGTCTTGTCTCCCGTTATCTTTATCATTGTACACTAAGTTTTTCCTTGTGTGACAGATAATATTAGCTTAATATACATTATTTGAGCTATTCTCTTCAAATGAATAGTGACAATTTTTTCATTTCAAATTTATGAATCCAAAAACACAACCTTACACTTCATTTGGAGTGTGTGGAAAGAAAATAAAAGAAAATCATTTTTGGATAGGTAAGAAACAAAGCTATGTGAGAGGGGGATATAAATGAGATTTATTTTTCTGTATTTTAACGAGCAATCTCGATATTATAAAAATTTTATAACCAATTAACCTTATTTCTCACTAATCTCACCACACTTTTTGCAAGAAATGAAACAGAAAAAAAAAAAGGAATTATCTTTCTCAACATTCCTCACCTAATTTATAAACCAAACATGTGAACTAGTTCGATTTCTCATCATTTCTCACCAAATCACTCCATCCAAACATAGCAATTGGATTGTACAGATTACAAATAAACAAAACACAAAAAACAAATTGGACAAGAAGAAACAGAGAGATTACCCCCAGAGATGGAGAGAGAGGAAAATTAAGGTCACCGAGGAGAAACCGAAAGAAAGCTTCGAGATGGAGGCCCTTCCGCTGGAAAATGTTGAGTTGCTTGAGGCTGTGTAAGATGGCCTGCGCCTCCTCCTTCGTCGCATTTTTCTCTCCTTGCAACTCTCTCAAGAACAGAAGCAGCTGATCCAAACTCATCGTACCGTTCTCCGAGTACCTTTTGAACAATTCCTTCACATCCTCCGGAGGCTCCGCCGCCCTTACCCTGAACATTCTTCGGCAACAGAAGCACACCCTAAAAGACTGCTGCGACATCTGATTCTTCCCACAGAGAGGGAGAAAGATTGGTGTGGTGTGGTGTGATCGATTGTTTTATGGACATTTCTACAAGCAGTTGGTGTGCATATAAATATGTGCAGTAAAGAACAGATTCTTGTTGGGATAAAGGAAGAAGGTGAGGTTGCAAAGACTTTTGGATACTGATTCTTTGGAATTGCGTGTTGGCAAAGTGAGAACATGTTCGTTCTCACCATGATTATCACGAAGATGTACACCATTGTCGACCCAGAAACGAATTGATATGCAAATGTAGCATACATACATATGTATATATACAAATATGGCAGTTTCCTAGTAAACAGATTGCTTGCGATGGTCTGAAACTTCATTCACACTGACTGTTTTGTTTTGTATCAATCAAGCTATCCAAGAAACTTGCCCAATGCTCTGCTACACAGACTGCAAAGTAGGGTGATCAGTAGATATTCAGGTACGGATTGATCCGCTTAGGTTTGGACGGATGACCAATTTCATGTTTCTTTTCGCTGCAACCGAATTACGAGCCCCGTAATAATTTATAAAATTTTATATTTTTAATTTGTTTAAATATTCTCTTTATATCTTCAATTGATAAAGAGGTTAGATATTTTGTTGTGTTTTCAATTTAAAAATCTTTTATCAAATGATAAATGTTGATATTTGATATTTTTTGTGAAAAATATACAGCTTAATTTTTTCATTTATAAAAAAAAATCAAATTAAATATTTTTTGAATTAAAAAAAAGTAATAAAATAGTTTTAAAAATATATGGTTGCGTTTAGTAAAACTTTATAAATATAATTTGAGAGTATAAGTTGTATTTTAAGTTTGTGAGTTTTGAAATTATGATTTGAATGTGAAAATTTTGTTTGGTGAAAGAGTTTTGAAAAGAATTTTGAATTGAGTGGAAAATTTTTGTTGTGACATGTGATATTTAATATAAAAACTTACAACTCATAACTAATTACACAATTCAAAATTCTATTAAAGCTCATAAAAAATTTAAAAAATTTTGGAAAATATTTTTTTCGAATATATTAAAATTAACATGTCAATTGCGCAAAAAAAAAAAAAAAAAAATTACACTGTTCCGGTCAACCGGCCGGACAACCTGTGGGACGATAGGGTAGCCTAAATTTTTCCGCATTCGACTTAGTTTTCAAAAGTAATCATAGAATTAAATTTTGAAATGCGTAAACAAACATCACGTGAGAAATAAGCCCTGAAACTAACGTTTCAGAGTTGTACCAAACACAGTTTATGATTTTCTTATATGTATTTATTATTGTAATTTGACAATTTATTTGATAATCTTTTAGTTATGTTGAGTTGGATTATTATCAAAAAAAAAATATTGACAAATTGTATTATATTCAAAATTTGTAAAAGTTTAACCGCCAAACCGATTCACATTCATCCACCAATCTACTCAATCCGCATCCGTCAATTCGGGGGACGAATGCGGATTATTTTTTCTAATCCGCCCATCTGACAAACAGATGACGGATTAAAATTCTTCTGTCACAACTGAATCGTGAACACACCTACTGCAAACATTACTCAAAAAAAGTAACAAAATATATAATTGTAATAAGTAACCCTAATTCCTTTGTAATTTGAAGGAAATACAAATATAATTTATAATCTTGTCATAACTATACCGATTAAAATAATTAAAACTAATGTATATGAAGAATTCTATTCTATTATATGGAGTGAAGACATAAAATATATATATATACATATCGATATATAAAGCAGACAACATTAATTTTTTTTTATTCATATAATGAATTATTGATAAAATTATAATTACATCAAAATTATAAAATTTGTTGTATATTTTTAGAATTTCAATTTAGAGGTTGTTTGAGATGCACTAAAAAGATGCACTTACTTATTTTTTTTTTTTATCTTTTTTGAGTCATATCATTTCTTTATTTTTCTACACATTTTTCATAAAAACTTCAAAAATACACGTATTTAGATCACTACAGACAACTCCTTACCCAAATATAAATGATGTGTAATGTGGGCATTTCTCAAAATAATTTGTATAGTTTTTATCTTTCTATCACCCTTTTTTTTTTTTTTTTGGATAAAATACAATTATGTTCCTAAAATCTAGAAGTCTAGTTTTAGAATAATAATTTGAATATAGAGTTATGCTTTGAGTTTTTGAATCATAATTTGACAAAAAAAAAAAAATTGTTTGGTTATAGGTTTTGAAAATAATTTTGAGATGATTTATTAAAAATAAAAAAATAAAAAAAATTAGTTTTTCATTGATTGATATATAGGATGTGAGAGGAGAGATGAGAAAAAAAAAAGTGATTAATTGATTAATTAATAATAATAATAATAAGAGAAATTTTAAAAGCAATTTTGAATTATATTTTAAAAATATATTTAGTTAACTTGTTTCATCCAAATCATAATTTAAAAACAGAGTTAAATTTTGAAAAATAAACCAAACGACTACCTAAGTTTGTCTCACTTTCTAATTTGAAATTAAATTAATCAAATTTCAAAGACTCCACCTTAAGAATTGTAGTGCATTTTATCCTCCAATATAGTCTAGTACAGGTGGTGATACTACACAGACACGGGACAATACCTTAAGCAGAAATATGCAAAGATCACTTTTGATTGTTTTCATCACCGTGCCATATCTGCCGCAGCAAAATCTACCGGATGGATGAGCTAAATCAACTGCTATGAATTTGCAATCATATCCGATCCACTTGATTTTCAATCTAAGTAGTCTCATATGAGTCAACAAGAACTACGATCAGATAAAGAGCACAGCTTCACTTATTTTTTTTCAAAAAAAGAGTATATACAAAAAATTCAAGTAGAAGGTATAAACACAAATAGGCAACAAATAACAAATAATAATAGCAGAGATCCGAAAGAAAAAGAAAAATAAATTAAAAACACTATCTATGTGGAATTGCAACCAAGAGAGACAAGAAAGTTGGCAAAAATGAAAATTTCAAACAAACTCAAAGCGCATGAGAAGCCTCACTGAGTTGTACTTCTCACCCTTTTGATCACAGAGAGGAACTGCACGGATCCCTTCCCTCAATTCAGAAATAGGTAAACAAATCTGGCCGCCAAAATCATCCTTCTCAGACATGTCGTACTCATGCACTTCAATTCGAAGTACAGCAAATTCAGGAACAGTCAATGGAAAAGTGAACTCTTCATCCCAAACAGGCGTCCAACTGTCCTCCTTTGTCTTTGTTTTCTTCATTGTCTCATCGGCAGGCACTCCAGCAATCCCAACCTGCTCAATAGGTCGACTCATAAATACATACAGCAAATATTGGAAGTAACTTTATGGCCTATCTTTATATGAACTAAACTTTGTTTTAATCAATTTTAGCCATTGAAATGTAAACCAAGTAGTGTCATGACTACATTGGTTGAGGAAGGCTATAACTTACTCTTGCGTAGAAGTCAGGTGGTGAATACAAATCAAAATGAGTTTGTTTAAAATCCAAGTGCCATCCATCACCCATATATACTTTCACCTGCAGGTAACATAAAGCATCTTAGAAATTATATAGATGGAAGGAAATGTAACTATATTTGCTTTTAGTGGTGTGAGACCTTTAAAGTTTTCTTCGCTGGCAACTTTGCTTTAGGATTAAACACCTCATTATGTGGTCTGCTGCTCATTAAAAGATCAGGCTTCTTCACATAACCACACCCTCCATTTGATCTAAACATCCCGTGCATCAACCATAGTGCTCTACCATACCCCTGAAAGTGAAGCAGTGGGACGAGTTGATCTTTCAACCAGAAAATTACACCAGGCATTTCTTCTAAAATTAGAAAATTTGTAAAAAGTCATTTATTCTAAATTAACATTAAAAAATATAAACTCTTGCAGTTACAAATTTTATTTCTAATACAAAACAGCATATTTGGTATAGCATCTGAGAGCATCTCTCTTTTCAGCTACTTGCGTTCCTATGTTATTAATGTTGCTACACATCAGACATGCATGTATTCTCTTTTTAATTTGAACTTCTCAACAATCAACGTTTTAGACCTAAATTATTTAATTCAATGGCCTAGAAACCTCAGAATACTGCAAATCAAGCACCACTTCCAAATGGCATAATAGTGTTTTTATTTTATTTTTAACAGAGGGAGAAAAAAAGGGGGGGGGGGGGGGGGGGGGGGGGGGGGGGGGGGTTGTGAAAATCTGAAAATCTTCTTACATACAGTGGAGAACAACACTGAATGCATATGCTATTTACCAAACTTGGGCAGCAATAGAAGTTTTGGTGCAAAAAACTTTAAAAAAAAAAAAAAATGAACTAACAATAAATAAATAAACTGTGAAAGAAATAGGGTGCATAGATTATAAGTAGCATGATTCATTAGGAAATTGTAACTAAGAATACAGAATGAGACCTGCATATTAAATGCAACCATTTGAGCTCCATGCATCCAACCGATTTGAGGCTTGTAATTGGAGGAGTTAAACCGAGTACCTTTAGGGTACACTCTCAGAATATTCTTCTGAGTGAACCTAGATTCAAAAAATAACACCCACCAAGTTGGTCAATAGAAAATTCTAAACAACGAAATTACAAAAGCATATAATGTAAACAGCCATGCTCATGAACTTTGTTTGATTAGCATCTACCTTACAACATCCATTCCATATGCTTCAGCAGCCTTTTCAAGCGCTTGTTCGCTCAAACTAAGGCGTCTAACTTTACCACTTTCAATTTTCAGCGCCTCCTTCAAGCCACCTTTGGGTTTTCCAGCATGAATAGCAATTAGACACTTGTATGCAGGTGGTTCAGATGGACATGAATTTTTATCGAAGTCATCAGTATCATGATCATCAAAATTGTGATTGCTCTGATCATTATCAACCTGCAAGCAAGTAGAGCATACTTCAACAAGCAAACACCTAAAGATATAGGTGTTAGACAAGATTCAGCTGAGAGCCTTGGCACATCACATTTCATTTCCAGCTCACCTTATCCTCATTTTCCTGATCCGTTGTCAGATTTGATGGTTCCTTGCCCCATACATCTTCATCAGAATCCTTCACTTTCTGTGAGCTATTTCCCTTGAAACTTTCAGCTTCAAGGTACTCTTTTGGAGGTTTGGTTGAAATGATAATGCGATACTTCAATTCCTCTGGTGAGGGGAATTCTTTTAGATCTGATTCAGGGTAAAACAACATCTTTCCAAATGTTTGAGTGATCATCTGCAAACACAATAAAAGCAATAAATAAAAAGGAGATTCAAATTAAGAAAAAAATGGTTAAAATTCATGGGAGGCAAAAAAATCACCTGAGCAACTTTAGCCTGAAGATCTGGCGTGAGATGGTCTTCCAGGGTTATTATGACAGGGTATGGGGAAGCAGAAAAAGCATGTTCTTTGATGGACTTCAAACATTTTATGAGTTCCACTGGAGTTGTCAGGGTCCTGTTTTCTTTAATACAGAAGTTTAGAGATACCCTCAAAGAAATAGACAAGAAAAAAATGAATGGAAACACACTCAGACTTCAAGTAAATTCAGTAGTACATATGCAGGATGCTAATGCCCTTTTGTTTTCTTTTTCGTTGTTAATATTCATAAACTGAACTTAGTTCTTGGCTGGTTATGGATCTATGTCCAACAATCTCTTCCCACTTGGGCTTATCATGCATAGGACAGAACATGTTTTAGTAGAACTTGACAAGAATTGGTTGTATTAAGGAAATCTCAAGAGGACATCTCGTTTTATAGCGAGAATACATTTACATAGCTAAGTTCTTTAGGAACTCCCAAAAGGCTCAGCCAAACACCAGGATGAAGGTATAACTTTTGCAAAAGAACTTCACTTTTAAACCTGATAATACTATTGGCTCAAAGGAATACGCCACTCCTACAACTTCTTTAGTTTCCTTGTTTACATTTTCCTTTAAAATAGAGAGCACAATTTGTTTAGAGGAGAAGATTTGAAAGAAAGAAATAATTTCCTCCAAAGATAGGTACACGGAAAAAACAACTGGGCTGATCAAAAGAGAGGCACATAGTATAGGATGCAGAGGTGCATATCAACAACATACATACCTAGAAATTAAATTCCGAAATAGTCAATTTAGGCATCACAATACTGAAAGGACCAACATAGGGCAAATTCAACCTCTCTCAACATTGGAATCTTACCATGGGCCTCTATCTAATTCCTCTATAAACCATGTAATAATGTCAAAACTATAAAGGTCCAAACATATATGGGACATTTTACTTTATTTTACACTCTTCAATCCAAAAAGAAGTGATGTCCAGTTGCTTCCCCATGGCAGAAGAATCCACCAAACTAAAATAATTTATTAACAAAAGATTCATGACCCCCTAAAAGCCAGTCATGCCTATTATCTTTGATTCCTAAACCAGCACCCATCAATGTTGATGGTCTCTTGATCCAACAATAATCCTCCACCGAAGGATACAAGAGGAAAACCATTTTCCATGCTACACAAAGATGGACACGTGCAGAATTTTATGGTGAACAAGCTTTATATATTCAAATTGTGAGTTTACATATTATAAACCCAACATAGTATGCTTCTTGTTTTCTACAGCAACTCTTAATGTTCTATTATTGTGACAGCAGTAAGTGTGTAGAAGAACACACCAAAAATAATTTGGAATACCTTTTATCCGGCAGTTATGTTAGTGGATGAAACTAGAGAAGGAGTTTAACACAAAATTAGAGATTTGAAGAAAAACATTTAAATCTAAAGGATTCCGGATAAACAGAACTAAAACAAAGTACATGGAGTCTAAATTTAGTAACAGTAACAATGAAAGCAGAGGAGAAGTGAAAATTGAGAACCAAAAACTGCCTAAGAGTGAACATTTTCATTATTTAGGGTCAATTATCACAGCAGCGTGAGAGATTGATGCGGATGTAGCCCATAGGATTAAGGCAGGATGATTTAAGCGGAAAAATGCGTTTGGGATACTGTGCGATAAACGAATCCCCACTAGATTAAAAGATAAGTTCTATAGAATGGCTATTAGACCAGTGATGTTGTATGAGACGGAGTGTTGGACAACCAAGAAACAATATATAGATAAGATGGGTGTTGCTAAAATAAGGATGCTAAGGTGGATGTGTGGCAAAACTAGACAAGACAGAATTAAGAATGAGTGTATTCAGAAATGGGTAGGAATAACACCGATAGAAGATAAGTTGAGAAATAATTGATTGAGATGGTTTGGTCATATTCAACAGAGACTAACAGAGGCAGTAGTGAAGAGGTACGATGCAGTGATGGTAGATGAAAGTATTAGGGGACCGGGTAGGTATAGATTAACGTTAGCTAGTAATGTAAATAGAGATATAGATCTACTTAATTTGACTAACGAAATGGCCTTTGATAGAGCCGAGTAGAGAAGAAGGATTCATGTAGCCGATCTCATTTGATGGGACTCAAAACTGGGTTTGGTTTGATTTGGTTTACCTTTTTATCCGGCTATTATTTTATATAGAATGAATGTTCTTACATATTTTTCACAAGATACACATAATATTAGTATGTATTTATCCCTTGCTTTCCATTTTCAATGATGTCAATTTGTCAAATTTTGTATTCAACAGTCAGCTTTTTGGTTATACCACCAAAAAACAAATGTAATTACTCTGGCATGGGTGCAAACTAAACAACAAGTAAAGTGAAGTTTACTTAACATGGAATGCTAGTGAATTGTTGAACAAAAGTATACTTTCACTTAACATGAATAATTAATCGTAAACGCAACATATGTACTTACTATATTATGAATACAATTGGAAATCTACGCAATTAACTAAGACGAGGGATGTCATAAAGTACGAAACTTGTTGAAAGGAAACCATGAACAGCATTATTTTTGGCTATGTACATAAGCAAAAGTTATATCTAGTGTGATAAATACTTTAGTATGTGTGAAGTATAAATGTCATCGAAAAGCAATTGGCATATAAGTACTTTATAATGTAAATGTATGAAGGTGGCTTTCTTGAAAACTCTAATTAATTAAACATGCATATATTCATAGCATGATCCTAAACTCCTTGTACGAAATCTATCATAAAATTCTGACATAGCAGGGGCTTTATATAAAAGACGGGCATCCCTATCTTAAGTCATGACTCATGTTAGTCACCTCCCAAAAAGTAATTACCCTCTTTGAGAGAGAGATAGAGAGAAAGAGAACTAGGGGAAAAATATATATATACGAAGCGCAATTTCAGGGGATTACTACATTGAGGCATGTTGAGGAGACTATAATACGACAATTCAAAGGCTTACGGATTTGGAAATTAATCACATACCTTCCATGAAGAACGTTCACATTATCTCTCGACGAATTGGGCCATACATCAAGCTCTATCACCCTCACACCTCTTTTCAATGCCTTAATGATTGGGACATCACTGCAATCACTGCTGAGCTGGTTTCCAGTCAAGTAAGAATTGTGCCCTGTGTAGATGAAGTAATGAGACAATGGAGCACTCATGTCATGTTGAACCTGAAATGATCAAAATATTTCTGGTTAACAAGTGCAGACATAGTGAATAGAATGGTAAGACAACTACATAATAATACATTCTGTTTATGATGCCCACCAATAAACAAGATTACAAAGAAAATTTGGTACTTTTGTGAACATGACATAATTATCGCCAACATGTGGTTGTTAACCACTTCCAAACTCTCCTGTTTAGGAAACAAAATCTTTCGTGTATTTCACAATGTCACTAATGTAATTAGCTTCATTAACAAAATTATATGCAAATTTCCAACTCACCTCACTCAAGTGACTTGCATAATCAGTATATGTATGACTCAAATGGGTTTCTAATGTTGCCATCTTATCAACCACTGGCGCTAAAATAAAATAAAAATAAAAAGTGGCAGAACCCTAAAAGGTCCTGTAGTGCACCGAAAACAAAAAGATTTTGACAAATATAGCCGAATCAAAAGTCTTTAACACGCTTGTTTTGGTGGCTAAATTGAGCCTATTCCATTTTTGCCCCCCATTCAACCACTATAGTTTCAATTTCTCCCTATTCTTTCTACTTAGGGAAAAAAAGAACAAATCTGGACTCAACCCTTTTTCCCCTTTTTTTCCCTCAATATTTCCTTTAATAAAACTCTTGAACCCCAATTAGTACTTTGTTTGGCTGCTGAGAAATAACAAACAATAGAAAAAGTAAAAAATTCAAAAGACAAATTAATCTAACCCAGAAGTTAACTCTCAGATTTCCAAATTTACACTTCTATCTGAAAAATGAAATTTTTTGGATACCTCAGATCCGATTGGGGGGTTGAAATCGACGGAAAAGAGGAAGTGGTGGAAATCTTCGAGAGTGAGAGTGTGCCTTGTGAATTTGGCAATATGGTGTCGTTTATGGAGGATCTGTTCCACTATGCGCTCGGCGTCGGCGATCGTGGCACCCGCTTCACCCTGAACCTCCGCCAGGAACCGCCGGAACTGCTCCGCCGTCATGTTGACTCCACCTTCCGAGTACTTGTTGAACGCTGCCTTGACGTCCGGCGGCGGATCCGCCTCCGTGACCTTGAATCTCCTCGTGAAGCACACACATATCCTGTAAGTACTACCCATGAGTCTCTCTCTCTTTCTAAAACCCAAGTACAAAACTCACAGTCTCTCTCTCTCTCTCTCTATCTCTCTCTCTCTATATATATAAAATATATGAAGAAGAAATCAAAGGATCAGATAGGTGTAGATCGATGAATACGAGGACTGTGCGTGGAGTGAACAAGATGAGTCAGAAGAGAGAGAGAGAATTGCAACGCGTTCTTGCTCGGATGCTTTGCTTTGCTTTGTTCAGTATATCTATATATATACATACAAATTCTGAATTTCTGATCTGAACGCGTCGTGCGTATGTGTTTTTATATTTGTTTTTTTTGTTGGTTTGTGTGAATGATCTGTCTGTCTGGGGTTTTTCTCAGTGATTGCGTTAAGCTTTTGTTTGACGCACCACCTTCCCGCTTTTTTTTTTTATAATTATTACTAGTGTCTGGGTGGGGATGATTACGAATGATAGTTGGCTTGGGCGTGACGATCGCAAGTTTGATCATTTATTAAATAAAGATGATACGCGCCTTAAAAATTTTATTAAATATTTTATATGTTTGTGACATTTATGTGACACTCATATTGTATGAGTCTCACACTTATATAAGGTATTTAATAAAAATTTTGATAAAATTTTTAGAGTTTTAAACATTAATTTTTTTTAGACAAGTAGACTTGTTTGAGAAATAGATTAAAAGTTTTTTTTTGATTTTTTTTAAATATATAAAAAAAAATAGAGAGAAAATATGATTTAAAGGGTCATTTCCGTAAATAAGCCAAATTATCAATTCAATTCCAAAACTAGGCCTAATTTTGAAAATTTTCTCAAAATAGGCTAAAACGTGGTTCAGAACCACGCTTTCACGTCTGTGCGCCTGTCCCGCGTGAGAATTGGGAAGTCTTAAAAGCGTGGTTACAAAACGCGCTTTTAATTAAGAAAGCGCGGTTACAAAAGGCGCTTTTAATTAAAAAAAATTTCTTCTGAAATCGCTATTTTGAACCACGCTTTTAACTTACATTTTTTTTGTTCTGAAAGCGCGGTTGTAAACCATGCTTTTAACCAAAAAAAATTTCTTCTGAAATCGTGGTTACGAACCACGCTTTTAGCTTAAATTTTTTTTCTTCTGAAAACGTGGTTATGAACCACACTTTTTGGCAAAAAAAAAATTCTTCTAAAAGAGTGTTTGTGAACCACGCTTTTTATACGATTTTTTTTTCTTTAAGTGAAAGCGTGGTTTGTAACCACGCTTTTAAAACTTATATAAAATTTCCCTAGCTCCGTCTTTTGCAATCACGCTTGTTACACTTAACACCTTTCACTCTCGCTCCCTACTCTCTCTCTCTCTCGCTCTTACTGCTCTCTCTCTGTCGCTGTGCTCGAGCTCCCTCTGCTTTAATTAGTAAAATCATACTTGATTTACTTTCAGTCAACTGTAGTCTAATAATACGTCTGAATGTTTGTTCAGGTGGCTGGAGCTGGGAGGTCATATCACTTGGCTGAGGACGTCCATTTCAGACTTGATGGACAGCACGCCTTGCAGGCCATTGTAGAGATCCGAGAGTTATTGTACCAGGCATTCCAGGTTGCCCATTGGGGAGATCGTCTGCATTATGGCCACTACGGTGTACACAGTTCAGTAGTTGCTCTAGACACATCAACGTTGTCCACGTCAGCGCCTTCCACTTCAGTGCCTGCCACATCAGCTCCTTCGACATCAGTCACCCCACCACATACTACCCCATACATATCTGGCATACCTTATGTGCCTGACCCTGATTGGGCACCGCCCCGATACATGCATGACGTTGTTACCCCACCTCATCCAGTTACCACCGCTAGACAGTTCGACCGCGACCATGAGTACACATGATACAGTTCTCACTGACATCTCCCACATTGACGATGAGGCCCATATTGAGCCCCCCCCAGAGCGCGCGGGAGAGGCCGAGGTTTTGGTCGTGGAGGACGTCGTGGCCAAGGTCGGAGTGCGAGCAGAGGCAGAGGCAGAGGTCGAGGTCTAGTTGCAGATCGTGATATAGTTGCACCAGATGATGGAGTTTCACAGCTCACAGCAGTATCCGATCTTCAGCCACAGACAGGATCAGGGACAGCACATGCAGTAGAGGGGGGTCCCACTCACAGGCTCCACAGGATACGCATTTACAATTGGGGGAGCCAGATATTCAAAGAGTCTACCGTAGGAGACCGAGGAGGGAGGTCCACGATCGTGGTTATGGGACTAGGGGCAGGTTAGGGCATTAGCGGGTGTGATATGGAGTGTATAGTTTATTTTATTTATAGTTTTTGTTATAGTTTTTGTAAATCAAACTTGTACAGATGATGTAAATTTATTCCAAAAATATAATTTTATAATTTTTTTTTTACTTGTTTTGATAATTTCCATAAAAATGAAAAGGAAAACAGAAAAAAAAAGATAAGAATTGATAGGATTTTATTAACGAGGGAGATTGGAGGACCACTTGTGTTGCTACAAGTTAGTAAAAATTTTATACAAAAAAAATCTGGGAAAAAATGTAAACATTGCATACTGGATAGTTGTGGGGAGAAATATGAATAAAAAGGAAACAAAATAAATATCTAAACAAACACATAATTTTGTTTTCCCTTTTTTTTCACTTTTCTGAATGATTGCATTCACTGTCTTTTTTTCATGTACAAACCAATGATAACCAAACAAAATGTAGACATATATATTTGTTGTTCATCTAACTTAAATGTGTATTTCAACTATTTGTTATATGAACCTGTAATTCATTAAGTATCATTATTATATTCCACATCAATAATGCATGAAATCATGAAAGTCTAGTTCAAGTAGCGTTCTTCAAAATAGCAATAACGGACAGAAAGTAAAGGTAGAATTACAAGAACTATTTGAAAACAATTGAAATATCTCCCTTCATTGATAAGTCGTGGATAAACATTACAAATTGCATGCATTACAGAAATGGTTTGGTCGTTCATCCAAACAATTTCATTCATTATCATCATCATCTGACATCTGAATATCAGATTCATACATAACATCCATGCTCCAGGCAAAGTACTGGTGTGCATCATCCATTAACCCATCTTCGACACACTCATTTGCGGTCTTCATTAGTCCGGACCTTTGCAAACGTTGGGTCATGCGATTAACCTCATCGCGGATACGATGCAATGCCCTTTGCAACAACTGTGGAGTGTCAGTTGGCATACGCATGTCTAACCGGCGAGGAAATTTAAGATTAACTTCACGACATAGCTCAATGAGAACGTTTGCTCGAGTTTTGCGAAATTCCCACTCAACTCTCATGGTATTGACGGTGGCACGTACGTAACGCAAATTTGGATTTAATGGGTATTCAAATTCATCTCCATTTGCAACCCAATAGCAACCCATTGCTGAATATAGATCAACCACCATATATCTCATGATGATATCGCTCGAAATAGCTGTAAAACTTTTGTTGTGGTATGATGCGATATTTATACCATATATACACATGGTAGCTATATGTATGAAATTATTGTAAACAACTATGCATCAGAGTTGTCACGTCAACTTTTATGACCTGAACAACTATGCATCAACTTGATAGGAGTTGTCACTTCGACTTTTATGAATTGCATAATTTATTGTTATTTCAAAACAAAAAGTAAAAACATAAAAAAAGAAAAGAAAGTAAAAGCGTCTGAATTAGTCAAATTGCTTAAAATATTTAAAAAAATTAGTAAAAACTTTGGAAAAAAAACACGAAAATTAAGAAAGTAGAATTTTTTGAAAAATATTTTATGAAAAATGAAAAGAACCAAGCTGATCAATCGACTAAATGTCTGAATTAATCAAATTTCTCTGCCTGAATTTTTTTTAAAAAAATAAATGTCAAATTACAATTTAAAAATCTTTAAAATATTTTTAAATTTTTTGAAATATTTTTTCACAAATTTGTTTTACTTTTTAGGTGTATTGACATATTTATTAATTTATTGTTATTTTGCTATGACACCCCCTCAAAATTTTAATGAATTGCATAATTCACAAGGGCACAGTTGGTATGGTACGATAATAAATTGTAGCTCGGCGCAGTGATACGTCCAACATTTCTCAGTGATGCTCACCAGTGACTTGAACAGACGAAATAATTTGGATGCTTTGTTTTTTTCTCAGATGCTATGTGACTTTGTGCAACGATGCAGTGATGCATGTGACTTTGTGCAGTGATGCAGTGATGCATGTGACTTTGTGCAGTGATACAGTGATGCATGTCACTTTATGCAGTGATGCAGTAATGCATGTGACTTTTTGACTTTGCCATGCTTATATAGTTTGTGACTTTTTTCCTCACATTACGTGATGCATGTGACTTTCTGCAGCGCAAATAAATGCTTTCTTTTTTTCTCATATTTCAGAATTTATCTAAGTCACATCAATACGACCACATGGCAATAGTGTTGATAAACAATTATGTGATGGACTGAAGGAGTAAAGTGTAATTTACCGAATATAAAAGGAAGCAGAAAATGCAAAGAGGAGAAAATGGGATGACTGTGAAATTCATTAAGTGAAAATAAGATAAAATATAGGCTGCAAAGTTTCAATCGTGTTTACATATCAGGTGACCATTTTATTATTTCGGTGAAAAAAACAACAATAGTTTTGCAGGTCTAAGTGAGTTGGACGGTTGTGTATTTACTTGCACTCTGTTTCATAGTTGTTTATGAAGAATATTACTTTAAAACAAAGAAAATTTAAGCATTTAATTTCATTTATAATTTTTTGAAAACACCAATTTGTACTGAAATCGTCAATTCCAAGTGACTACTTACTGTATTAAAAAAGTAAGCATGAAAAAATAGTTTCATGTAGCGATGTGACAACTCACTGCATGTTGTTTTATTTGACAACTCACTGCTCGAATATGAAGGGATTGCATTGTCATCCTCTAGCCTACAATTATGATTTTATCTGACAACCACGTCCGTGACTACATCACAGGTACACAAAGTCACGGGTACTCAGGATTGCATGAAATGAATAACATAAAATAATATCACGGGTATCACTTCTTCCATAGTGCCCCAGCATGCATTATCGTCACTAGATCATCTCTAGTTAACCCTTAATATTATGTCTATAAATAGAGACACCCCCAGTATGATGTTTGTTCAAGCCATAACAATAGTAATATATCTACAATTACTATTATTATTTGTTTGTTTATTTTATGAACAATGTCTTCAAGAGGTACAGGAAGTTCACGCCGGCAAAGAAATCCGAAAGTGTGGCTGCTACCTCCATTTACTTATGACTACAAGAGTGAAAAGTACTCGAGTCCGAAGGATTA